GTGTGTTGTGCGTGTAATACTGATGTGTGTGATGCAGATGCGTGTGTGATAAAGGTGTGTGTAACGCATCTCTATATACAAACACACACGTGGGTGTGTTTATCACACGCATGTGGCCCTACCATGCACATGCAGTGAACCGGCAAGACCAGCCAGGTGAGCTCTCTCAACACAGGTGACGGCGTCACCACACGGGGTGGACCTGACTCAATGCGCTGGGGTCTTGGTTCAGACTCAGGTGAGAGATTACAGAGGTGATGGGAAGTTCCCCGGACTACAGAGTGTCCGCAACCCAATTCGACTCTGGCTTGTGTCACCTCTGGGACCTGTACAGGTGAAGGTGACGCAGGCAAGTGAATATTAGAACAGTCCCTGCAAAGCGGAGGGCCACTGACACGTGAGACATAAATACAAATGGTGCGGGGTAGCCAAGAATTAAATGAAGAGAAACAACCATGGCCACGTAGCTGTGTGCCTACGACGCCTCGAGTTCCTGCACCTGGACCTTAGGGATCCATCCCCCGGAGCCTGCAGACCCTGCATCTGGAGCATGGAGACCCTGCAGATGGAGCCTGGAGACCCTGTACCTGGAGACCCTGCACTTGGTGACCCTGCACATGGAGCCTGGAGACCCCGCACTTGGAGACCCTGCACTTGGTGACCCTGCACATGGAGCCTGGAGACCCTGCACTTGGAGACCCTGCACATGGAGCCTGGAGACCCTGCACATGCAGCCTGGAGACCCCACACTTGGAGACCCTGCACATGGAGCCTGGAGACCCTGCACATGCAGCCTGGAGACCCCACACTTGGTGACCCTGCACATGGAGCCTGGAGACCCTGCACTTGGAGACCCTGCACATGGAGCCTGGAGACCCCGCACTTGGAGACCCCGCACTTGGAGACTCTGCACATGGAGCCTGGAGACCCTGCACATGGAGCCTGGAGACCCCACACTTGGAGACCCTGCACATGGAGCCTGGAGACCCCACACTTGGAGACCCTGCACATGGAGCCTGGAGACCCTGCACATGGAGTCTGGAGACCCCACACTTGGAGACCCTGCACATGGAGCCTGGAGACCCTGCACATGGAGACCCTGCACATGGAGTCTGGAGACCCCACACTTGGAGTCCCTGCACATGGAGCCTGGAGACCCGCACTTGGAGACCCCGCACTTGGAGACTCTGCACATGGAGCCTGGAGACCCTGCACATGGAGCCTGGAGACCCCACACTTGGAGACCCTGCACATGGAGCCTGGAGACCCCACACTTGGAGACCCTGCACATGGAGCCTGGAGACCCTGCACATGGAGACCCTGCACATGGAGTCTGGAGACCCCACACTTGGAGTCCCTGCACATGGAGCCTGGAGACCCCACACTTGGAGACCCTGCACATGAAGTCTGGAGACCCCACACTTGGAGTCCCTGCACATGGAGGCGGGACGCTGCAATTGGCGCTCGGAGCCGTCAAGGGTGAGTTGCGTGACGGCGGATGTCTTGTGATGGATCCATGTTGAGTGACGCTCTGCTGCCGACATGCGAGTGAATGAGGGATTAGGGGAGGTGGTTGCGAAGCTTGGTTGCAAGTTTTCTTGTTGATTCAGGCAGATTTAAAACTCCGGACAGCCTTCAAGTCAAGTTGATGTGCTCTGTATCCGGTGAAACTAATTAACATTCAGGGTACGTGAATGTAGTTAAGCCCAGTGAATATCAAGTATATGTGTACTGGGTCTATGTTTAGATACGTATGAGAACTTCCTATATTCTATACGTTAAGTGCCGTCGTACAATGACACAGTTACAAACAGTAATGATGAACACGAAAATCGGAGTTGCATTCATAATACGTACATCCTCTTCTTGGTTCTTTCGGTAAAGTCACACAGAAGGGAAATAATAATAAAATAATAAAAATAAAACATAATAAAATAATTCTCACGACGTTTCGGCCACAACGCAAGCAGCCGTCCTCAGGTGAAGAACAGGTCTGTCGGAAAGACAGCGTCTGAATCAAGAAGATAAATCCCTGCAGTCACGAAAGCTTTAAATCGAAACGTACATCCTCTGTACCCGTACAGATGAGTGGCACCCGTAGCGAGAGAATGTTTGATTTAAAACCGAGCGAGTGCATTGAACAGACTCCAGTGACTCAGGTGATTATAGTCGGTGTGCATTTCCAGCGAGGCGACCTCAGGCTCTCAAGGCAGGCAGCCACAGGTGCATTTGTCACTGTGCAACGCCACTTTTATGGATCCAACCATTCTTTCGCAACTCAGGAGCTTGCGTCTCCCTGCGCCGCTAGAGGGCGACTCACAGTAAAATCCTGAGCGCAGCACATGTTGAGTTTATGAAGCATTTTCGTGTGACTGGATCTCCAGTGTACAAACGCAGAGCCGCGTAATTATTCTGGGAGCAAGAGACATATAAGGGCTGGCCTTGAACAGGGGAAGGGGACTTTGCAGTGCCGACGATCAGTGAGAGGAAGTGCCAGAGTAATAGGAGTGACCTCCCATTGACTGGAGCTTGACCAGGGTTTTTGACAGGATGACTCAGCTGGTGGAACGGAGAGCAATGGGGAGAGGGAGCGAGGTGGAAGTGAAGAGATAGGAGAGCACAGGGAGTGGAGAGATGAGAGGGGAGAGATAATAGAGAAATGTTTCTTCATGGTTACTGAGGTTGTTTGCTCACTGCGATTACCATTATAGGATGTCATATTTAAAGTTAAGTGTTACGTTTTAGAAACCTTGTTTTTGGTGATAAATCATGGGTTGGCGTTTTTTGTTTTTCTTTAAACCCATGATCGTGAACTTTGAACAATTTTAAAGACATACTGTGCCTATACAACTGTATATTGTTAGTTTGGCAATGTTTCACTCAGATGCAACTCTTTTACTGGTTGTTGTTTGTGCACATGGATTCATTTTGTTGATCCACTGCTGAATGAAGAGGTTTTCAATTTGTGCGCTTGTCACAGTGGTTACTTAACCGTACTATGGGTAATAAAGATTTAAACAGCTGTAATTAGTTGGTTTGGTAATTGTTTTTTGGCGGGTATGTTGTTAAAAAACATATTGGTCATGAACACAGCAGTTTAATGGCAAGTTTTAGCAAAGTATTGCCCAGCAGTAGTGGGACATTACTTTGCCGTTTGTTATTTGTGAGATGCAGTGACAGATTTCCCTGTGATTTTTCTGTAAAAGCATAGCATACCGCTTCTGTGTGTTTAAAAAAACGGTTTAAATGCGCGTAATTGCAAAACAAACGGCACTTTCAATAGGGCCCCCTAGTGGCAAAGCAGCGCCCGCTCGGGGTTGAAATAAAGTGGCCTAAAAAACACAATATTTTCTGTCTCATCCAGGTCCACGCGTCTCTCCCCCAGTTTGGTTCCATCTCCTCTTTCACCGAAACCTGGAGTACTGACAGACGATGGTGTCCAATTCTCCACCATCACACACACGCCATTTGCGTGCACATATTTACTTCCCTGTAGGGCATCACGTTCATCTTCTCCTGGAGCAGTGCACGTTGCTATTGATACACACACGTTAGTGTCCACTTGCACGTCTCGTTTATGCCTCACATAAAGACATGGGGATCCAGGCGGTGTAGTGATTGCACTGTGTACAAATGGCTGTGTAAAGGTAAGGAATTACGTCGTTGCGTCTGTCGTAATGTTTAAATGAGCAAAATATTTATCTGGGATTTGAACCCGGGCTGCTCAAAGTCATAGGAAGCCGTGCTATCCGTTATACCAATTTAACTTTGGGACGTGTTCTGGTAATCAAATCATCGTCGTTTTCAATATTTTTACTTCAGATGTATTGATTTGTAAGTAAAACAAACCCTGAAGTGTTAGAAATTGCTCTGTTATAATTTAATTACCATAACAAATTGCGTGAAAAAAAGTTGGATTTGAACCCAGAATTTCCACTATTTCCACCTCGCCAAGCTCCCCGCTCGATTACAAACTGGTGACGTCACAGTAGTCCACGTCTTCTTGGTTCTTTCGGTAAAGTCATGTAGAAGGGAAATAATAAAATAATAAAAATAAAACATAATAAAACACAATTCTCACGACGTTTCGGCCACAACGCAAGCAGCCGTCCTCAGGTGAAGAACAGGTCTGTCGGAAAGACAGCGTCAGAAATGTAGGGTAGTATTTGCTTGCTATATAGCTAATGCTTTAAGGCGGCATACAAATTGATATCCTGATATTTTCTTTTTAAAGTGGACCAGGCAGATTATATATTTGAATTAAGGACTGAATAACAATCCATTAAATGAATATCAATACATTTAAGGCTCATTATTGTTGGTTTTTTTTAAATGTGGGTTTATCGGATGCCTGTGACGAAGCAATAACCAGGTTTTTTCCTAAGAATTCTATCGTTGAGATATTTCTGGGAATCTCGACATTCGGTCTAATAAAGAGTTTAGAATGTATATTTTTGGGTATTTCGGTAAAAGTCACGTAGATGGTTCAAAGAAAATAAAAAAACTACGACGTTTCGATCGCAACACAAGTGATCGCCATTCCTGATGACGTCGTAGTTTTGTTATTTTCTTTGAACCATCTACGTGACTTTATCGAAACACCCAAAAATATGAATTCCTGCAGTCACGAAAGCTTTAAGTCAAGTTTAGGAAAGTTTTAAAAATATATATATTTGGGCATGCAGACTCAAGAAGTTAATTAAAACAAAAGAATAATGACTAATGTATTTAACATGCATGGAGTAGGGTATTCATTGCCAATTTAAATCGCCAAGGAGAATCAATTGAGAAGATGAAAATGGAATTAAAGAGGTCACAGATTTCCTGGATGGCTGTAATTGGTGCCCTCGAATGGTAGCATACTGCTCAGATACGAATACGCCTTTGACGATAGCTGGACCTTATTATTAACCAGAATTCTTTTTTAAGAGATAAAGAGTTTTATCGTTTTAATTACATGTCAAGTTGGGGTGCACAGCAATGACTACACAATTCAGGAATACTAATAATTCTGTTTTTATTCTACCACGCCAATGTAGAAAAATTCAGATGTTTTATTATATTATGCAAATATACAGATAGCACATACAACAGAAGCAAGCATTAAACTATATTCAAATTGAGTGATGGTTTCAGAAGGGAAAAATGATTACGCCCCAATTGCCAATATTTACCATTCCTGCATGGTGAGACATGTGACATCTTAAAGTGCGATGTTGGTTATCATGGATTGTTTTGCATTTGTTCACGCATGCCTCTATGTGAATGCTTTGCAACAATTATTACATGTCACCACATCCTTTTTTTATTTTCAAGCTTATACACACCAGCGCAAGCATTATTTGCGATCATAAAATACCTCGGTCGACTTGCTTTTGGGCTGAGCTATGAATTCCAAAAGCAATTCAGCAAAATGGAATCTAAAGGATTCCCTCGAGATGCATTACCATGGGCGCACATTACTAACCCCATGCATTTTGGCTTAGAATGACTGTACATACGTTATCCACATATTGAACTGTACACGTTTTAGAGTGCAACTCCATGCAGACCTCTGTGGTCACCGATTATCAATATTTTGAAAAAGTGAAATTAAATATTCAGCACTCTCATGTGCTCCGAGGTGTTTCCAGCATGTGGAACTAAATGTCAGATATGATGCCAAACAAATGCGTTAACAATTTGAACACGTCAGAAAGCTATACAACACATCAGTAAAAACCTATACGGTAGTAATTATTCAAATCAATTAGGAAAATTAGTCTTACCATAGAAACAATAACTTGTATTACTTATGCACTACTGTTTGTACGGAATCATAACAAATTCAAAGCAAAATAATAAACTAAAACATTTACACTCAATGTAGATTCGATAACTTCAATTTTAATATGACCGAAAACTAAGATAGGATGAAACCAGTTCTTTTTTTACCTGCAAAATTACAAAACTTTTAAAATGTATTTTCTCATGAACAAATGCCTAGTGTCGTCCAATTATAATCTCGTATCTGAACTTGCACAAAGCTTAAGATATCTTAACCCATGTTACCCTCAGAGGAAAGAGATGTATTGTTTGAGACAATTGTTACGACAGCTTTAATAGTTCAAGTTCTTCCAAAGGCATGTGGGAAATTAACAGGGCCCTGCCATGACTTTTCTTTTGGTACTAGCCTATAGGAAATGTGTATATATATATACTTAATAAAATTACATAACTATAATGAAGAGTACAAATGCTACATTTTGCAAGCTTGCCAAGTCATACAGTATCCCAGCATCTCTTGATCGTAACATCCAAAGTATATTCTCCTAAACAAACTTTACTAATAACGTGTAATAAGGTCACTTATAAACACAGTTTCATAACACCAAAACAATAGCAGGAGTCAATGCTTTCTACTGTATACTCTTGCGTAATAAACCTATCAGGTACAACTGAATGTTCCAAAGAAAACTCAGCTTGCTTTAAAACAAAAAAATCTAATTAACGTCAAACACAAACAAGGAAACCGTTATTGGTTCTATATTTACGTAGGCACACCAAAGCCTTTGGAGCAACCTTTCCTGTGCCAATGTGGATTTATGAGCTCACTGTTGGCTGTAAGGATTTGGGTTATTGGGATTGTATGCCTGCTGGTAAGGGTAGGGCTGCTGGGGGTATCCATATGGATGAGTGTATGTGGGCATCTGGCCCTGCGGATAGCCAGGCATTTGGGGCTGTACGTACTGTGGCTGTCCCTGGGGATATGCCTGGCCTGGCTGAGGTTGGGCACCGTAGGGTGGCATTGCGTATTGGGTGTAGGTTGTATAAGGATTAAATCCCATTGGCATGGGCACAGCACTGCAGGGCAAGAAGAGAGAAACACAAGCAGAAAGAGAGGTTAACATTCGTTACACATGTGCAACTGTAAAGATTGGTTTTAGGACTGGCTCAAATACAGTCAATTATTTGCCAGCAGTGTTATTCTTACCAGTGTGTAACAAAGTATTAATTCATTTACAAAACCTGATTCTTAGCACTGCTGATATGTGCATAGCATCATGCATGTAAAATTGCTTACATTTATGCAAATTATATGATAAAGCTATACTTTTACATTCGGACTAATGCACACCTCGCTATATGCTTTTGCATTCTGCAAACGAAGCATGCAATTTGGCAAGGGCTATCTGCCGAAATGGTCAAAATAAGCAGGTGCACACACCCTGGGTAGCCGGGGTAGGATGCGAACGGGGGTCCCTGTGCCATGGAGACTGTGGAGGGTGTACTCGCTGCAGCGACTGGAGCAGGAGCTGGGGCCGCACTGGGAGTCGGTTGAAGAACCGGAGGGGGTGGACGTGGCGGTGCCTGAGGCTTGCTTGGCTGCAATAAAAAAAAACACAACAAGAATAGCGCATTGAAAAATTGGATAGGATGTTGAAAATGTAGCCAGTTCTGTACACGTACAGACCTTTTGTCAATCCACCACTGGATGTGGGCCTCCCCACGCCATGCGGGGTTGTCGAGGTTATACGACCATACTTCACACCGCCGCTTGTCAGTGCAGGCAACATAGATTGGGGTGCACAGCACAGAGCCACGATGGATATTGCTGCACTGCCATCTTCTGACAACGAAGCAAAGCTTCATCCTCACAATGTAATGCAAGTGAGAGTTATGGGGAAAAATGTGCTTATAAGCAAATATGCATTAAATTATTAAAATACGAGGCCTTAAGCACACATTTTCGGTTTCATACCAACAAATGCATTGTTTTAAGAGCTATGCGCACCGCAGTAGTGCGGGGTAGAGGCTGGGGGGGCATCTCAGTTGATTGCTGATAGGCTGGCACACCCAGGACTGGGGCAGATGGCTCTTTGGCAATCTTCTGCTGGATATCTCTACAAGAGCAAAAATGAAAGAAAAAAACATTATACAACAGATGCCAACATGGCTCATGATGGTTGGTTATAAAAAAGAGATATATCGTCAAACAAAAGTCAAGTTTTTGAACTCACTTGAGCAGTTCATCCCTCTCAGTTTTGCGAGCAAATACTATGTCATTACATTTGCTCTGGAATTTAAGCAATATCTCCGTCAGGTCACCGTAAAACTGCAAATATAAGGAGAGAAAAGTCATATTAGTTCCTTGCGAATGAACATTTTACTTTAATTTTAAAAGTACATGTGTGAGAAAAGATAAAAAAAAATCCTTTCATTTTTTGAAAGTACATTTGTGAGAAATAAAATTCCATTTCCAAAGTAATTGTTTCTAAACAGAAATATAAATGCACTTATTTATCCACACCTTGTTTCCTTCCTCCAGGTTTCCCAGGAGCTGCATGAAGCCGTCATGGGCAGCAGCCAGCTTCCGGAGGACTTCATCCCGCAAGTTTGACTCTGTGCTCGCCTGTTTCTGCTGAGCGAACTCCTGGTGGCGCACCTACAGTGCATAAGCAAACACGAAAATATATCAGCCGTGGCACAGACTGTGAGGGAAAGTGCTGTTTCACAAGCACTTATGGGTCATTATGCCATTTGAAAGCACATTACCAAGGTGACACAAGGTTACTGCTTTTTTCTTGCCACTACAGGTGAACGTACAATATACAAGGGAAGGCTACACGCCGGCTTGTAAAAATACAAAATGGTATACTCTTCAATATGACAATGTTTGAAAACGAAAAATATGTGCAGAAGCCGGAGTGGTACAGGGGCATCCACCCTGGCAGCGGAACCAGACATCAGTGCTCCGGCATATTTGTAAATTCAAAACTCCAGAGTCAACCAGCCCCACAAAATGTGTAAAGTTGTGAGTTTCTTTTTACGAATCGGAGGTGTGGGAAATTTCCACTGGAACAACCCACACCAGACAGATATGACTCATCGTGCACGACCATGTCATAGCTGAGAATAAAATAGAATTGTAATGAAGAATGCTAACCACTGCCAATGAACAAAACCTTGCACCAGGCAGGGTGTTTTGTTGTGGAAACATGGTAAATATATTTCAGTGTGAACAATGGCTTGGACTTTGGTCCAATACTGTACAGGCTGACACCATTTTGAATTTTTAACCCGACTCAGGTGAGAGACCCCACGCAAATATTATCAACAAAAAATGCAACTCAGTAAGAGGCAGCATGAGAATGTGAATTATGTATAATAATTTAAAAGTCATAGAATGCATGTATTTAAGTTGATCATTTCCATTGTAAAATACGGAAAATGCAACATTAACTAACTTTTTACAGCTGTCCACTGCAACTATATCTTATGATAATCACAAACAAAAGAAACGATTTAAAATACCCAATCTATTATTGGTTTACCAACCTGCACCGATCAACGTAATCAAACATCGTCAAACAAGCCTCATTACCTGTGGCGAGGCCTCTATTCTGCACTGGATGCAAGTTTTTTTTATATTTTGTAATAATGGTTTCACCCCATGACCAATAATATTCACATTTACCATGCAATTAAACGTTCCCCTGCAATATCAATCAGTTCGACCATAACTAAAATTAAACTGGATTCTACATTCGATTCCATGAAGGATTTTTTAAAGAAAAAAATCGACGATCCATTGTTAACGCCCAAGTAGTTCTCGCCACCACTTCAGCTGCTGCACCTGCAGGTCCCTGAGTAGCTCCTCCTGACGCCGAATGCTCTCGGTGACGCGCTGCGTGTACGGCCCGTACAGCCGCTCCAGCTCAGTGCGCGACAGGTCCTCCTCGTTGAGGGCCCCGTCCTGAGCCAGTGCCCCCAGGAAGCGACCCGTCATGTCCGAGTCGACGGCGCGCAGCTCACCCTCCAGGGCCTCTCGTTCACCCTTCACGGTGTCCAGGTCGGACAGCAGCGAGCGCAAAATCTGCACTGTCTGCACAGAGGATGACACATGAGACAACGCACTTGGCCTTGAAGAGGTACTCTATTGACATACAGTGAGGGAAAAAAGTATTTGATCCCCTTCTGATTTTGTACGTTTGCCCACTGACAAAGAAGAGATCAGTCTATAATTTTAATGATAGGTTTATTTGAACAGTGAGAGACAGAATGACAACAAAATCCAGAAAAACGCATGCCAAAAATTGTATAAATTGATTTGCATTTTAATGAGGGAAATACGTATTTGACCCCCTCTCAATCAGAAAGATTTCTGGCTCCCAGGTGTCTTTTATACAGGTAACGAACTGAGATTATGAGCACACATAACATAACATTGTATTTTATTATGCTTTATTTTTATTATTTTATTATTTCCCTTCTACGTGACTTTACCGAAAGAACCAAGAAGATAAATCCCTGCAGTCACGAAAGCTTTAAATCGATACCATCCCCACCGTCAAACATGGAGGTGGAAACATTATATGCTTTGGGGGTGTTTTTCTGCTAAGGAGACAGGACAACTTCACCGCATCAAAGGGACGATGGACGGGGCCATGTACCATCAAATCTTGGGTGAGAACCTCCTTCCCTCAGCCAGGGCATTGAAAATGGGTCGTGGATGGGTATTCCAGTATGACAATGACCCAAAACACACGGCCAAGGCAACAAAGGAGTGGCTCAAGAAGAAGCACATTAAAGGTCCTGGAGTGGCTAAGCCAGTCTCCAGACCTTAATCCCATAGAAAGTCTGTGGAGGGAACTGAAGGTTCGAGTTACCAAACGTCAGCCTCAAAACCTTAATGATTTGGAGAAGATCTGCAAAGAGGAGTGGGACAAAATCCCTCCTGAGATGTGTGCAAACCTTGTTGGCCAACTACAAGAAACGTCTGACCTCTGTGATTGCCAACAAGGGTTTTGCCACCAAGTACTAAGTCATGTTTTGCAGAGGGGTCAAATACTTATTTCCCTCATTAAAATGCTAATCAATTTATAACATTTTTGACATGCGTTTTTCTGGATTTTTGTTGTTGTTATTCTGTCTCTCACTGTTCAAATAAACCTACTATTAAAATTATAGACTGATCATTTCTTTGTCGGTGGGCAAACATACAAAATCAGCAGGGGATCAAATACTTCTTCCCCTCACTGTACACACCAACCGGCGGGAGAGCATGGTTGCATCGGCACTGGAGCAAGGACTGAAATGGCCTTCCCCGACCCCTTCCCCCCCCTCTCTTCGTCACCTCTTGCCTAAGCCCACGGGCCCCGGTGCAGTTGCACTGGCTGCACACTAGATAGCTCTGCCACTGGCACTGCTTGTTATCAACATTTACAGGGAGCCTTATCTTAAATAATTATCACCAGGGGCAGAGGGCACAACAAATGTATCGTAATTGACAGTGACACGACCATCACTGTCTTACCTCGCTGCCTGCGAGAGAAGCTGCCGGATTGGCAGATGGAATGGCAGAGTTGAGCTCCTGTTGTGGTTGACTGAGCATCGCGATGTAGTCCCGGTGCTCGTTATACTTCTGCTTGACGACCCCATCCGCGTTCACGGCATTGTCAATAAGCTGACGGTACTTGTCACCCTCTGGAAGAAAAAAAAAAGGATTCCAGATGAAAATGTTTCATTGTAATATGCAGATTATTTTCCATTGCTAATTTTCACAATGTTTAGAAGAAAAATAGCAACAGTGCAGCGTCAACCTGCACGCAGCGGCTTGTAGAGGTCATTCGAGGGTGTGCGCTGCCACTTCTGCTGAAACTTAGTTCTTAGGTCATTGTCTGTGACCTCCTCCTCACTCAGCATCTTCATAGCCTGGGCAAGCAAAGTGAAATTATTCATTGGAGGAAATGACAGCAGTTTTTCATATGATGTAGACTAAGTGATGGAACAATGCCTAGCATATACCCCTACTTTGCACTGTCAAACTGATGTTAAGTTTGTAAATAGGATTAATATGAACTGATCAAAAACTATATCACAGATGATTAATCTGTAGTGGAGGAACCATTAGTATCGTATGTATAATCTAACTCTAAAAGCATCAACTAAATAAATGGCCATTACCTCATTTAGAATCTCACGATTACGTTGCAGAAACTCAGGAAGGTTCTTCATCCAGTAGTCAATTTTATCCAGCCCCCCTTTTTCGACGATAGCCACGGACTTCTCCAGAATGGAAGGTGGTACTGTGTCACCTGACAAGTCTTCTAAGGCAGCTGGCAGGTTCAGCGATGCTAAGATTCTGTGAGTGTAAAGTCCAGTCAAACATTAACCAACCATTAATTTGCATATGCGAAATACATATAATCCAGCCATGGAAATAAATGTAATTAAACCGTAACTTTATAAATGTGATGCTTAAGAAAAATGTTGTTGCAAAAATGTGAGCTGTTACCCATTGAGAAGAGTGGTTGCCTCCCTCATTTGCATTACAGATCTGTTGACAAGATCAGCCTTCCTTTGGTTGTATGCAGTGACCGCATTGTTCACAGCCAGTGGTACCATCTTTTCAAACAGGTCTGACAAAACAAAAATTACAAAAACGAATTTAACAACAAGCAATGCTAGGAATGTATACCAGTTAAGTCATTCAAAATTGTGTTAATCATTGTGCCCGATGCCAGTAAGAAACAAAGTTATTGTTCATCAATCGCAAAAAGAATGACAAGAGAAAAAAAAAACTGACAAAACAAAAATTACAAAAACGAATTTAACAACAAGCAATGCTAGGAATGTATACCAGTTAAGTCATTCAAAATTGTGTTAATCATTGTGCCCGATGCCAGTAAGAAACATAAAGTTATTGTTGATCAACTGGAAAAAGAATGACAAGAGGAAAAAAAAACTGCTTTGTTTGACTTACCAACAAATCGGGGGCTCATGGGGCTGGTGAGCTGCAGGGGCTTCACAAGGGTGGCCTTGCCAATAGCTTCCAGGTCCTTAATGTCTGGCACCCGATCGTGGTAGATGAAGTCATTGTCCTTCTTGGCTGCAGTTAGCGCCCGGCTAATCTTGTCAGACAGATCTTTGACGCTAATGTACTCATCGTAACGCGACGTGACCGTTTTCACAAGGTCCGTTGCGTGCTGCGTAGAAAGGTCACTCTCATTTGACATTCAGAAACTCATAAGCAGACTATATCTGCTTGCAGCATCATGTGTTCCTTAAACTTGTGGCAATGACTATTTGATTTGATCCAGAAACACATCTTATAGTAAATAGATTAATGAATTTGTATTCATTATATAAATTTATAATCAGAGTTTAATAGAATAAAAGTAAATAGTGATTAGACTCGCATATGCTTCTTACATATTTACACATTCATTAAATATGTTGTGCCAAACTACCAATGTTGCCGTGTTAGAATATACCTGGAGTCTTGCGATCTCCTCTCCAAATTTCTTTTGCTGTTTGGCCACGTTAGACTGGTGTAGCTGGGCTGTGGCCTGGTAGATGCAGTGCTTGGCAGCCAGAAGAGGAAGCACCTCCTGGAAATAAAAATACTGGCACCCAGGCACGACCACCCCACGCGCCGCACACCGTACACAAGGCAGAACCACAGTGCATGCAAAATCGACAAGCGCATGCAAGTTCACATACATAAAATCCCAGTGAAAGTGAAGGCGCGGCATTGTCAAGTAGCACGTGACAAAGCGCAGTGATATGGGACATGGAGAAAAACATGTAAAACAGAAAAGAGCATCAGGACAGCGAGCAGGAAGGGAAGGGGAGACAAAAGTGGGGAAAAAAGTTACTGGTTAGGCTGAAAAAAAGTTTTAAAAGGAACGTCAAGAAATGTTAGTATTTAGCAAAGTTCTTGTTAAAAAGTTAAAAATTTCAATAATTTCTGAAATGTACCATTTGCTGCCTCCAGAAATAAATGAAGTAAATATGGAGGACCATTTTGGAAAAAATGTAAAGGTGCTGCCTTTGGAAGAGGATTTGGAGGTTTATGAGTTTTCACTACATTAGATTTCAAGTGCAAGTCAGTGCAAGATGTGATTAACATATCCTTTAAAGTAAACATAACCCCAGAGTGATTACCTTAGGCAGCTGCTCCTTGTATTGACACTGCTTGAAGGCATCTCCATAATAGTCAGCTGCTTGATTACCCAGTTTTGCAACAATCACGTCCTTCATTTTGTCTGCAATCATGCATATCAGTGGTACCACACAGACCAACCATTTATAACAGATCTACTTCATGTGTTCACCTCAACAAACCAAATGTTCACATTTCCAGTACAGTATTGTACATGGATAGCCCTTTTGTCAATCCAATGCTGGATGAGGGACTTCCCATGGTGTGCATGTCATTGGGGGTTATTTGACCATACTTCACCATGATGCTCAGTCAGAGCCGGCCCAGCCACTAAGCGACCCTTGCAATTGCAAAGGGCCCCATGGCCAGCAGAGGGCCCCCTAGAGTCACTGCTAGCTAGTGGGTGAAAAAAATCATACATCAAAGGGGCCTCCAACCAAATTTTGCTTAGGGCCCCCAAAGGTCTAGGGCCGGTTCTGTGCTCAGTATAGGTTGAGGGTGGGGAGCAGACAAAAAAGCATAGCATCATAGTACGGACTTTGCCGCACTGCCCTCTGCTGCATATGACGTAGCAATGATCCCAAAGTTACCTGTGAAAACATGGTGTCCATGGTGCTTTGACTAGGTCATAGACATCCCAATGTTAGGTGTAATAAAATTAACAAATGTATGCCAACCGTATATTTTAATACGTCAAGTGATTAAACACAACAGCCATTACATGCAATGACTTGTCGTTATTATGTAACGCGAGTGATGCACACTGGATATGGTAAGCAGCTTTGGGCAGTTTTCAATATCAGTCGAAATCTGTTTTATCACAGCTGCAGTTTACTCAAGCATTCAAAAGCCGTTATCCGCATCAAATTGACTACATCCACTGCTGGATGAGGGCTTCCCTCCACTGTGGGTAGTAAGGATTATTTTACAATAGACCACCACACTGGTCAATGCAGGTTGAAGGGGAGCACAGATGTGAGAGCATATAAATACAGTACCCCAATTGATGTTGCTGCAATGCCCTCTGCTGTCCATTAAGCAGCCCCACAGCCCTATAACACCTGCTATGCATGGTGGTTGCCCATCCAAGAAGTATCTAGGCTCAACCCTGCAGAGCTTTTGAGATCAGGACCATTCGAGGATGATTTGATTTTAAGTATTAAAATACACTCCAACTGAAATTACATACATCTGCAATGCAAAATAACGCAGGACTCACCAGCGCTGGCCTTCATGTAGAACACCTCTTGGGCCTGTGCCAGCATGATAACACTGAGCGCTCCAACTGTGTCAGGGGAGATGTCCACCGTTGGCTCTCGGTTCAGCGCACTCAGCACAGACTCCTTGATTTGCAAAAAGCAGCCGCTCGCTTGCTAATGGGTGACGATAAGGCAGGGGCAGGAATTTAGAAAGAGATACTCATTTTACAATAAACACATTTAACAAAGTGTTTCAGGCATGTAAATGTAACCATTATACATTTGTACACTTTAATAAGCATTTAACACTTTGGCTAAATGTGGCCAATTCAAACTTGTATCATGCCCCTCTTTTCCTTCTAAAACAATATTCCTGCCAAAACAACACAAACACTGGCTGTATACTGCAGCATTTTTGATATGCTAGAGTAGCGGTTCTTAAACTGGGGTGCACACACCCCCCGGGGATGCGAGACATGCCATATATTTTAGAAGATAAATCATCGAAAACACAAATTAAGCACGGGCACATAAGTACAACCACTTTGTTTCATTAAACCTATGTATTTATTAAGATTAATGTTTTTTAGGATTGAGAACCAAAGGGGTGCAATGCTGCAGTAAAGGTTAAGAACCACTGTGCTAGAACAACCATATAACTTGGAATACGAAGAAGAGAATGAACAGCATTTCCACTAATCATAGTTATAGCTGACATAGCAATGAAATACAATGAGGAATACAGTGTTTGCAAAACTGAATGAGATACCTACCTGGTAGTACTTGGCAGCAGTTTTCATGCCATCATCACTGTCTAGGTTGAGCTCACCAGCGATCTGGCTCATGAGAGCACCAATATTGAACAGCACACAAATCTTCTCATAGCTGGCCCGAGGGATGGCTGAGAAAGATTTAGAGATTTAGAAACCAAACTTATTTGTGTGTGCATCGAGTTACCGCATTTTCTTTGCTACAAATATAATAAAGGCACCACTTTTTAAAAGTACCATAATGAAATGTACCATGCTGTCAATAAACATCACAATCACAAAATAGAATGTTAATGATGTTACTGAAATGTACAATATACTGGATACTTAGTATTTCTGAAATTATTTTCAGACATCTGTACTACAATTATGACGCCATTGAACTTACTAAGTTTTGCTGAGCCCCCAAACAGTGATCCTTTGTCAAAGGCATCCCTCCATGTGAAATTAATTGGGTTCTGGAACAAATGAAATGGTTGCATTACTGGTTATCATAAAAGCACACGTGGGTAGTGTTTGTGACACACAATATAGGCATAGAAAAGGGCTTAGAGTTTCGCGTTTATTTACCTGGCCTTCATTAATGGGCAACTTTGGCTCAATGGCACACAGCTGATCATAATACCTGGCAAAAAGAAAAAAAAACAGACAAAGTCAATTGAACAAAGAATGTACATGGATAGTGCTTTTGTAAATCCACTGCTAGGCGAGGGCCTTCCTCAGTGTGGGCTTGTCAGTGTGGGTTGGTGAAGGCGAAGACAACAGATGAGGGAGTACAGCTCAGTATAACAAAGGATTTTTCAGTAATGCCCTCTGGTTCCCACTGCATAGCCATTGCTAGTCATTGCTATCAGAGCTCAAAAGGCTTTAACCTGGATAGTGATCGGATGGGAAGCAACTCTGCATAAAACCTTAATAATTAGAATACAATAATGTTGCACAAGGCCACCTCATAACATTAAACTTATTAATTAATGACAGAGCTCTAAATAAACAGCCCTGCATACACAAGGCTTGACATAGCAACGGCTATGGCCACTCTGTTTTATGACTCAGCTCCAAGTTGTTAAGATGAAGTGTTGGTTAATGAGTAATTGGGCAGTGGTTTGCCCAGAAGAGCACATTATTTATTAATGTGCAGCATATACATTGACCATAGTAATTCGCAGTATATTGTTGTACAATTCATATTTTTATGCTGCGGAAAAATTGACATTTGCCAACAATTACAATTACTTTTAGTACAAAATGTTTGGACTATGGGCTTGCGATGAATCAATTCTGGTTTAAACAATCTCAAACCACAAATTACTTCATACAGTGTACACCAGGGCATGCTATCCACTGCTGGATGAAGCCCTTCCCACTACAAGACATACTCATGGCACATTATGACAACATATCTCATCAAGTTTGCCTTGTCTTAAAATGTCAACTTTAAATACGAATTCGACCGCAATGGCAAGTGCACTGTGTAGTGTTTAAGAACACAGTATATGCGAGTCAGTGTATTCAGAGCCTTGGACCACATCACCTGGAATGCGGCCGATCACCACATCTCAGAAACTAAGCAAGATTTTTTTTCCTGGATAGTGCTTGGATCGGCGACAACCATGCATACACATCAGGTCTAGTAGCCTAATGAGGGGGGGCTACATTGTCAGCGAACCGCAGTGCGGAAAAAGCAGCCTACACTCCCTGCCTTGGACAAACCCGCAGTGCCCGGTGTGGTGAAGTATGGTCAAATAACCACCACGACCTGCACACTACGGGGTGGGGGGATAGGATCTAATAATGCAGTAAATTGTCTTCAGCTTTACTGTCCCAACACCTAAAATACATTATATAAAGCCTCCACTTTAATGTGAACACGCAGGCTGTTACCACAACCTGTGCTTTTAACTATTCCAACTAAATTCCATCAACACTCTTATTTAAACTCGACTAAGAACTATGCCGACAGTAAAGTTGAACACAACTCATCCAATTAATCTCATCCGCGTCTTAATATGTGCAACAATAGACTGCACAACGTCAGAAACAAAGATCGATTTCAGAGTTGGACAAATTCACTGCTGGATGAAGGCCTCCCCGCAAGTCACCGTCTCTAAAAAAAAACCTGCAATGCAGTATAACCACCGCAAAGTCACACACCTGCTTTCACAAATTAAAGTTAACTTTCGTGTTTTTGTTGTCGTCTATTTGATCAAATCAATGCAAGTATTGAACACCGCGCCGTCGAGAAACCACACACCGTAACTCGCCACCCTCCCGCGGTGTCGCCTGCTCGGGTCTACCGCCTCTCCGCTCTTATTTACCCGGAAGCCGCTCAGGCAAGACAGGCTTCAATCGTCGGTGTTCGGTCTCCCACGTATCGCACGATCGCAAACCGTCCAATTAGGGATTTTAATTTAGCGTTTGGACAAAATAACTCGTGGAACAATAGCGGAGCGGTAAAAGAAGGTTTCGTCCGTGCGGGGAAGGACTTTAAGTCACCGCTCGGGTGCTCTCTCCACTGTCATCACCTACACTGTAGACGTTTAGCTATCTTTAACTACTTACTATAGAGTACAGTATTCTCCACAACAACATTCTATTATTATGTGCGTGTGTTTGTTATGCATTGAACAATTTTACGCCGAACTAGGACCCATATCGCAATGTGAGAATCCCCCTTTGATACAAGAACGTTGTGACTGCTGATGAGACACTTCATGTCAAAACCGTAGGCACGTGTTGACCAAATTTGCATCTCTTATTTTCGTTTATTCATACATCCACGTCCTCCCCCATTGCGGTCTCCTATCGTATGTTGTCGGTGTCCATGTAACTATGCCACGGATTGCATATTGTGGAGCACCTTCACCGGTAACCATCTGTACGTTTGCTTACACACGCAGGGCACCCGGGGGCAAGGTGGGGCCCCATCACCACGCCCGGCTTGCCCATGACTCCCCTTCATTGGTATGAAGTCAAGGCTAGCCACGTATGGATGAACACCACCTCCTACCTTGCCATGTACACACCTGCACGTGTGTACATGGGTCAGTAACACTCGAATCCACCAGACCAGAACACATTGCCACACAGCTAGGGATGAACACCTACCTTGCCATGTACACACCTGCACGTGTGAACATGGGTCAGCAACATTCGAATCCACCAGACCAGAACACATTGCCACACAGCTAGGGATGAACACCTACCTTGCCATGTACACACCTGCACGTGTGGCATGGGTCAGCAACACTCGAATCCACCAGACCAGAACACATTGCCACACAGCTAGGGATGAACACCTACCTTGCCATGTACACACCTGCACGTGTGGCATGGGTCAGCAACACTCGAATCCACCAGACCAGAACACATTGCCACACAGCCATGGATGAACACCTACCTTGCCATGTACACACCTGCACGTGTGAACATGGGTCAGCAACATTCGAATCCACCAGACCAGAACACATTGCCACACAGCTAGGGATGAACACCTACCTTGCCATGTACACACCTGCACGTGTGGCATGGGTCAGCAACACTCGAATCCACCAGACCAGAACACATTGCCACACAGCTAGGGATGAACACCTACCTTGCCATGTACACACCTGCACGTGTGGCATGGGTCAGCAACACTCGAATCCACCAGACCAGAACACATTGCCACACAGCCATGGATGAACACCTACCTTGCCATGTACACACCTGCACATGTGTACATGGGTCAGCAGGACTTGAATCCACCAGACCAGAACACATTGCCACACAGCCAGGGATGAACACCTACCTTGCCATGTACACACCTGCACGTGTGGCAACGGCTGGAGAGGTGGAGGAATCTGTTATCCACTAGTGAACATTCATTGGAATGTTGATTATTGTATTTCTGACGATCGGAGGATCTTTTATCGATTTAAAGCTTTCGTGACTGCAGGGATTCATCTTCTAAACTCCCAGTTGCATGCTAATTTCTGACTTTAACATCCTGCTAATTCTCTCACATTAACACAGCTTATTCAATGCTAAATTATTATGTTGCTATGTAAACTCATTTGTCAAGGCGCTCTTCTCCTCCCACCCAGCTTAAAATACGCTGCCAAGCTTAGCAGTGTTCATTAGGACGCTGTCTTTCAGACAGACCTGTTCTTCACCTGAGGACGGCTGCTTGTGTTGTGGCCGAAACGTCGTAAACATTTTAATTTGTTAAATTTATTTTATTATTTCCCTTCTACGTGACTTTACCGAAAGAACCAAGAAGATGGATCGGAGGATCATCCAGCGGTGGATAGACGAGGACTACTGAGATGGGGAGTTCTTCATCCAGTCGTGGATACAACGAATGGAATGTAAGGCCGTCATCCAACAAGGACTATACATGACGGTCCTATCGGGGAGCCCTTAATACAATGGTAAATACACAATTAAATACACGGTGTCTTTTAAAAGTATACCAAAGTAGAGTATATCGAAAAACACGTCACTTGTGTACACTTTTAAGACAACCCTTGTACATTACGACGATTCCTTCATCCAGCTGTTAATACAATACACTATTGAGGCCTTCACGATTGAGGCTTTCATTTTTACCAGTGAATAAATACACTTCACGATTATTAACGGCACCTTCATCCCCCTGTGAATCACCTCTTCTACGATACGACTATTATAAATCTGCCTCAATTCCAGCGAAGGGGACACGCGTGCTCCTGGCAGACTGCCGACGACGCACGCCGCCGTCACCAACAAGCGAACACTTTTCCTAAGCGCGACCAAGGCCCTGCGGCAAATTCGCGCTCATTATAAAGAGACATTTTCATCCAGCAGTGGACAGACCCTGTATATAGACACAGACAACACACACACACACCTCTCTAGGAGGTCGAGCGAGGCCTCGTGCTTGTCCAGGGGCCGGCACGCCGCGCTCCTACGCAGCGCGTTCAGCTCCTCCAGGCTCTTGGCGAAGTCGTGGCCCGGGCCGTACGTGTCCAGGATGAAGCGAGACAACGGCTTGGCCACGTCAAGCTCGTACGACTTCTTCAGCGGCACCGTCACGAACGTGGCCATGGCTTCTTGCTGCTGTTCTTGCTGTTGTTAGAGACGAAGAGACGACGCGTACGTTTAGCGAGAGCGTAGCTACGATGGTGAGCGAGCGTTCATCTAACACGCGGAAGTGGCAGGAAGAGGAGTGGGGGGGGCCTTGGGGCGTATGTGACAAGCTGGGCAAGCCAGTGGGCCACTGCCCCAAGTGAGCCTCGCCTCTCTCACCACCGTGTGTGAGACAAACAATACGAATATTTACATGAACTCTCATGGAGGAATACGATGAACTTCAAAGATTTTTTTTTTGCAGATGTTAAGTATTCACAGACAACGATTTCCCCCCCCCCCTCCCTGTACATCCTGAATAGACTGCATACCTGTCAACCCCTTATACGTGCCTGACTTATTACAGACCAATTCAGACATTGCTCACCCAGTGCCTTTAGAAATCTCAACGTTCATCCTACAAAGTCCCATCACAAGGGAGAAACACAAACAAATACATTTTTGTTTGCCTGTATTGAAACGGCTGTACGTCGTATGGACCTGAAAACTCAATTTCCCTGTATAAGAATAAGAGTAAACCTACACTATGGGGACCTCATTTGCCAGTAAAAATATGATAATTGGTTATTTACCCTTCTATCTGGCAACAAAACTGACACCTTTTTACAAGGAGTCATGTTTGCATAGACCACAATACCTGCAGTCATAAATACAAACAAAAGACATAACTCTGATAATGTGCACTGTCCTTGAAGTAAAAAGGTGTCAGTTTTGTTGCCAGATAGAAGGGTAAAGAACCAATTATCATATTTTTACTGGCAATTGAGGTCCCCATAGTGTAGATGTTTGCCCCGAGCTCTCATACTCTGATGGTGCATTGTCTTTGAGTTGTGCGCCTTTTGGCGTCTTCTGGTCCAACCCATGTGAGACTAGGCTCTAAGGAAAGCTGTCTCGGGTGTGGACCAATCAACTTCAAGGACAGTGCACATTATCAGAGTTATGTCTTTTGTTTGTATTTATGACTGCAGGTATTGTGGTCTATGCAAACATGACTCCTTGTAGGGTAAAGAACCAATTATCATATTTTTACTGGCAAATGAGGTCCCCATAGTGTAGATGTTTGCCACGAGCTCTCATACTCTGATGGTGCATTGTCTTTGAGTTGTGCGCCTTTTGGCGTCTTCTGGTCCAACCCATGTGAGACTAGGCTCTAAGGAAAGCTGTCTTGGGTGTGGACCAATCAACTTCAAGGACAGTGCACATTATCAGAGTTATGTCTTTTGTTTGTATTTATGACTGCAGGTATTGTGGTCTATGCAAACATGACTCCTTGTAAAAAGGTGTCAGTTTTGTTGCCAGATAGAAGGGTAAAGAACCAATTATCAGAGTAAACCTAGTTTTTAAGCTTTCGTGACTGCAAGGATTCATATTCTTAGGTTTTTTCGGTAAAGTCACGTAGGTAAAAAATTGATACAGCAATTGTGCTGTGACGGTTCCACCTGAAGACGGAAGCTTGTGTTGCCTCCGAAACGTCGTGATTTTTATTTAATTTGTATTTTACTTTTATTAATTTTAATTTTTTACCTACGTGACTTTAACGAAAAAACCTAAGAATAAGGGTAAACCGTATGGGTTGACAGGCATGCTATAGGGTACATAGTGCCTGCACACCGTAGTACTGTAAAGTCGAATATCCAACTCGATGAGAGGTTTGGGTAATGACTTGGTATGGTTTATGGGTGGATATGACAACAAAAAGGTTGGAAAATGTGAGAAACAATGACGAGTTACACAATCATCATGCACAAATAGGTTACCAGAAAACAAATAAAAAAATACAGTGGCTTTAAACACGGAGAAATAATTTTACTGTGTTCATACTCTTAGTTCTTTCGGTAAAGTCACGTAGGTGAAAAATGAAATTAAAATTAATAAAATAATAAAATCTATAATTATTTTACTGTGCTTTAGATTTAATTGAATGTACGCCAGGTCGGATTACTAAACACCTATTTATAATTATAGTTGCGCCGTGGACAAATACTGTCCAGTTTTGGGTGTGGGCGGTTCATTGGTCAGGGCGGATAATGTGGCGGTCGTTTTATGCGTCGATATGAATCGAAAGAGGCGGTTCTAAGTGGTGAACCAAGATATGAAGAACTTTGGAGTGGATGTTGAAATGGCCCAGGCAAGGAATTCGTCGAGAAAAAGAGCAGGTAGCCAGAGACCCCGCATGAATGGGTAATATCAGGAAGATGGCACATGGTGTTTCAGCAAACGTGTATAACAGGGTTGGTGTTTTAATGCCATAGAAGAAACAGGTATCGTCAGGGTTATGGGCAGCAGTGAGCAGTGCATCTAAACCGAGTGTTGTCCTGTACTTCTATGCTCCGCGCCTTTACAAACCCGCCGCACTGACTAGCGTGATGTAATCTGGTCAAATATACAATCCTCAACAGGCGTGTGGGTGTACCTCATCCAGCAGTAGATTGGCAATAGGGCTGCACATGTACGTACACGTATGCGCAATGAAATACAGTCCGCATAAAGTGAATACAGTCTACCCGAATTCTATCCGTGTATTGTACGGTACTCCCATGGCACCGTTACGATATCCAGAGACGTCGTGGCACCGTGATGGAGTTAGCCCCCGAGCGCGTTGACATTTGCATGGTGACGTCTCGAAGCACGTGTTTGCGGTGCCCACGCCTGTGACCTCACTCCACAAGACATGTGACTCTTGCTCAACGCCCAGAGGAGAGATGCACGTCACCTCTTTGTTACACAACAGCCCAATGAGTTGATAACAACAAGAAAGAGACACGGCTAAGAAAATCCTAAAGTGCGGATTTCGCAATAGATATTTCAAAACACGTTCACGGGTTCATTCGGAAATGAAACGCGTCCGTTTTCACGCGTGGTAAACGTGTAACCTGCAGTGACGTGTTGTATTTAACAGTTTTACACACTCTTGTTTAAAATGCCATCTTATTGCAATTGTTAGGGTGTAATGTTACGTTTTAATTAAATCATATTATGATCATATACTAGTATTCGAATGCTGTATGGTATCCCTGCAATTATATATAACTACATTACTTTCATAATTTATATACATAGTATTGGTTTTTTTCGGTAAAGTAACGTTGAAGGGAAACAATAAAATAATTAAAATATAAAACAATAAAATTCTCTCATCGAAAGAACCAATAATACGAATCCCTGCAGTCAAGAAAGCTTTAAATCAAAATTTATATACACTTATTATTTACAGGACTGTAATATACTTTTTTCCGTTTGTCAATTCACTGCTGGACAAAGTCCTTCAAAAGCCGTGCCAGTCTTCAGGTTGTTTCACCTTAAGTCGGCGAAAAGAACGGACCCAGAGCCATTTTAAGATAACGCTCATCACTGATTTTCCTTGACCTAAAAACGTAATTTCTTCGTGGTTTTGGACCTATGACTGGATGTTGTTTCGCTAGATTTTGATTTCACGAGGACCACTTATGTATAAACAAATACACAGAACGGACCAACTCCCATAGCGTACCGACAGTTCCATGACTCACTCCAAAATGACACGACAGTATTGTCACAGAGGGAAACTAGTTTGCCAAATGGGGTTGACATTTTTGGAGCTCGCTTTGGTAACCCAGACCAACGGCTTCAGAACAGTGCCAGCTACTCAAGTAACATTATTTACATACTACAGTATTACTGTCTCCTCTGTGCAGGCCATTTCAGAATTCACTATTCGGGCGATAACCACACTCGAAGTTAACAAAGAGCGCTTATTTTGTTATTTATCGGAATTGAATTGAATCAGACAAAACCATTTCCATTCAACAAGAATATTTCACTATTGAATCTTAGTATTTGTAAAGGCTTTTGTCAATCCACTGAAAACTTCCCCATGCTATGTCGGTCATGTATTGATCGTTTGACCGTAAGTTGATCAGAGTGGGTTGTTAAAAACGGGGATGACTCAGAACCGGTTCAGATATTGCTTGCCAATGATGTTAGCTGTGGCCGGGTTTCCAGCTCAAGTGTGTTAATCACTGTGCCACCACTCCACCCGTGGTATATTTATAATGAATGTCTTGATATGCATGTAATTTTTAGTTTTTAAGTACGGTATGTTTTCTATGTAATAACAAAAATTTTACAATTCTTAAACACCAATGTTGGGAAGTATATGCATATGCACCATAATAGTTGTAATAACGAGCGAAACATCGTACTCAGATTGTAAATGTTGTGGCTTTGCTCTCCAACACACCGGTGTGCTGTACTAATAACTAATTGGCGTGTTCTGTTTACGTGACAAACCTTACTAATTGGTTGTGTCGGGTGGTGTCGGGTTTAACGACACATTTATATATTTACGCGATCTAACCCAAAAAAAACCTGCCTACGTGTTGTATGCAAATCTTTCCACAAGTACCTCCACGTCGATTTGGATCACAGCATCTAAATGAAATATTTTAACAGATTCATGAGCTTTATAATTTTCACATACATTTAGCTTATTACGAGAGACAGGCAAGGAAATGTCAATCAATATATCAACCAATAAATCACAAATAGAGCATGAATTACAGTATTGAGTACACTATTCAAGTATAAAGCTAACATATTTCTGGGAGGCTCAACCAGGAAAACCCCACTGAGTGTCGATGTTTTTGCGGGCGGGTCCTGGCCACGTTTTCTCAGTAAGGGGATATACTGTAGTTGCTATATATAATCTCATATCAGTAATTTACAAGTCATTTTTAAATCCTTTATATTAAGTTCACTTGCTTGCTTGCTTACGACCGTGCAAATTTTTCGGTCGTTCTTTAACCCACTTCCCGTGATCCAATCGAGCTGACATTTTGCACACAGACTCGTTGTGAGTGACAATTTATTTTCGTGAAATTTTTTCTCCAAAATTTTCCACTATTTAGGAAAAAAAATTTCATATTTAATTTATAATACCAATGTGATAAAAATGAAACTCTTACTCAAGAAAAACAGAAATGATTAATAAAATGAAACCGATGCCACGCATATAAAGGATTTATAGTGAAAAACTTTGTTTTTACGGGTTAATTTTTTCTCATTTGGACACTGACGCAGGCAAACAATGGGGGGA